TCTTCCCTCTTCCAAAGGTCATATTTCTAAGACAACAGTTGTTTTCCCTCTTCCCCTGAGCTAAGGCACACAGCAGTCTGCTCCTCTGCTGTCCCCATGCACCCCCCGTGCCGCAGTCAGCCTCTGTCCCTTAACAATGCTCATCGCCTGGAACTTGTATTTCATCCCCTAAACTGGCATTTCATCCCCTAAACTGGCATTATTTTACGTTTCTGCAGATCTCCTAAATATCTGCCATGAGAGTGTCAGTCACTCAGTCATGTCTGACTCACGACCCCATGGCTGTCGCCTTCCAGGCTCTTCTGTTCATGGGATTCTTTAGGCAAGAACACTGGAGTGTGTTGCCATTCCCTTCTCCAGGGAGCGAACCTGGGTCTCCTGCATGGCAGGCAGATTCTTTACCAGCTGAACCACCAGGGAAGCCCTAATATCTGACATAGTGGGAAATAAATGAATCCTCAAACACGTTCTATTAGCTGTCAGAGCAGTGCCTCTCAGATCCCGCCTGCCCCTCCCTCCAGATTCCCTTGAGAGCACTTAGAGACCCACTCCTCTGTAGAGAGCACAGAAAAAGACCCAGGAAGGTGGTGCTCATGGTGTTCCTCTTACCATGGTGCCCAACAAAGTAGACGCTCAACAGAATTGCTGGGTAAATAGATAAAATACACATTTTAACCTTAAAAGACTTTGTTATTCGTGTGTTCAGTTCATTTTTATTAGAGTTGCAATATTCTTTCTTTGACATGGCAGCTTTAACTCTACAAGCTCCCATGAGAGACTTGGAGCTTTGAGGCATCCAACACTCAGATATCCAAGCCAGAAACAGCTCATTTTTGTTGACAAAAACCTAAGAAAAGGGTGTGTAACTAATTTTTAAAAATCTCCAGCCAATGACCAAGAAGCAAATGTGTGTTTATTGCATTATTTATAAATGTTTATTGCAGATTATCTTGGGCAATTGAGAGGTCTTGCTGGTGACTAATTTTTCTGTAAAGTATTTGCCTTACCTCCTAATACTGCTCCTGTATGTGTTCCTCTGTAGGTTTATTCATAATAACTACCTACTAATTCATTGAATTTGGTGTATTTTATTAAATTCTCTACTGATGAACACTTAGATTATTGCGATCTGTTTGTTTTTAACTTTGCTGTTGTGTATGTTACTTACTTGCTGCCCTTCTGACTATATCTTCTTCTCCCCTCAGAAGTACATTCCTGCTCTCTTCAGAAGTGAAATTCTTAGCATACAAAAAGTGTATGTGAGAGATGGCATGTGTGTGTGTGTGTGTGTGTGTGTTGTTGTTGTTAAGTGGCCCTTCAGAAAACATTGTATCGGTTTTGATTTGGCGAATTTTTTATTTTTGCTTATGATTAAGATGAGCATTGTGAATTTCTCACACTGACCTTGTCAAACCTGTGTAAGTCCACTCGTTGGCATTAGACAGTGTTTAGCATTAGGAATGGGGCTTGTGAACAGATCATCTTCAAAACTATAAGGGAAGAAATGGGCTTTCAGGATAGCAAGCATCATTACCTTACTCTCCAATGCAACAGAAAGTAGGATCCTCAAAATCCTTTTCAAAGGATATTACAATCTTGTGAACAGACTCAATAGGTGACAGTGTTATTTTCACATCTTCTTCAATACACCAAGACAGTAAAAGAAAAAGCATTAGCACCTGGAAAGAAAACTTCACTGTCACAGAATTCTACATTAAATCATCAGAGCTCTGAACTGAGCTGTGACCTGTAGTTACAGATCTCAGTGGAAGAAAATTATAGTTGTTTAAGTCACATGCACCGATAATTGGAAAGTTGTAACAGATATTACTTTGTGCTGTGTATTTTGACACATTTAATAGTATCCATTCATTTAGTGATATTGTTCTGCATGTGTTCCCTCACCATCCAGTCTCATACAATACTCTAAGTACACTCATATCTGAAATATTATTATAAATTAATTAGGTTGCATTTGAAGTATGAGATATATCATTGCAAGAATTACTATATCTTAATCTTTCTATAACTCTAGAATTTGTTTCCTTATGTATCTCTTAATTTATGTTAATGCTTCAAGGTAATAAGATAGTATTTATTGGTGGAAATCATTGCTGCTAGAAAATTTGACATTTTAAAAAGTCTTTATGTATTTTTAGGGAATGGCTCTGCAACCTTCATTTGTATCAGATATCAGATCAAATTATTTTTTAATAAACATATCCAGTTTTATTTGTCAATCATATCTCAATGAAGCTCAGAAAAAAGAACAATCACCTAAGGTCATATTTTTTAAATAACAGCTCCCAGCCCCCACCTCCACACCTGAGATTCTAGTGTAATAAGTCTGAGAATGGTCCCTAGAAAATGCATTTTTTAAAATTCAACATTATATAAGTTTCAGGTTTATAGCATAGTGATATAATAGTTTTGTACATTATACTGCATTTCAAGTTATTATGAAATAATGACTATTTGCCCCTGTGCTATAAAGTATATCCCTGTTGCTTATTTATTTTATACAAGTAATTTTTATCTGTTAGTCCCCACCCCTGTTTGACCCGCCTCCTAGTTCCTCTTCCCACTGGTAACAACTATTTGTTCTCTGTATCTGTGAGCCTGTTTCTGTTTTGTTATATTCATTTGTTGTTTTTTTTCCTAAGATTCCATATATAAGTGATAGTGAAGAGTGTTTTTATGAATATCAGATCAAGATACACCAGATTATATCAGATCAAGATGAGTATACTTGACTGGAAGATTTATATGAACAATTAGCGTTCTTTCTGCATCAGGTCCCGAGTCTCATCCTCAGAAGTCTTCGTAGCTTGGCAGCACCCTCTCCTTGCCCCCAGCCCATGTCAGCCAGCACACCCACATGCAGCACGCATGCGCGTGGATCCTCTTTACTGTGAAACTCTGTCCTTCTCGGGGTGCATCCACTTCATCAGCTCTTCCTCTAAACCACGTTTAACTGGGAAGTGGGGTTGTGTGGGCTAGTGGTCAGTCCTTCTTAAACATGCTTGCTGCAGACCCTCCTAGCCAAGTTCTTGAAAGTACAGCCTGAGACCCACCTCATAAGAAAAAGACTCCGGGGGCAGGGCCATAGTTCTCCTCTCTAACCTTTCTGATCTTCAGTAGCCACTTGGAAACCCTGGTTTAGGTGACCGAGCCTCATCCTGAAAGTATGGAGATAAGATCCAGAGTTTTGTTCCAACAGAGAAATGTAATCATCATGTTATACTGTTGCTTTGAGAGGATGCAAATGCAAATACTGCTGATGCTTCTTTGCAGATAAAGTATTGGGACCTCAGGCAGGAAAGACAGGGTACCTTGAAAATTTTAAAGGACTCATCATGTAGAAAGAGTCCATAGCAGGGGTCCCCAGCCTCCAGGCCATAGACCACTGCCAGGCGGCAGCCTGTCAGGAAGGGCTGCAAAGCAGGAGGTGAGCGTGGACAACCGAGAGAAGCTCCATCTGTGTTTACATCTGCTCTCCCTTGCTCTCATTACCACCTCCCAACAGATCAGTGGTGGCTTAGTAAATGGAACGTGCTTAAATCATCCTGAAACCGTTCCTCACCCTCCACCCCCAGTCCATGGAAAAATTGTCTTCCATGAAACCAGTCCCTGGTGCCAAAAAGGTTGGGATCACAGCTTTTTTTTTTTAAATACTCATTCATTCAGCAGATATTTACTGAGTTTCTGTTCAACAATGACAACAGAATACCATTCAGACTTAAAACAGGGGAATGTGAAGTTGCCTGGGACTGTTTTAGAGTGTGCTGCAGGGAAGACCCGGCCTTCAGTGAAGCTCAGGAGGTTTAAGGTAAACTAGAAGGCCAGAGCTGAGTGAAGACCGGGAGGAATCTCAGCCGGCCCCGAGGAGGGAATGGGCTTGGCGTGTTTGAAGGGGAGAAGGCAGGCCAGTGTGACGCAAGCAGGGCAGGTGCATAGAGGCGGGTTCAGAAGAAGCAGGGGACCCAGCAGGCGCCTGGTTGGGTGCAGCATGGAGGCCAGCGTTGGGAACCAGCTGGTGGGTGGTTTTCAGGGAAGTCCACGTGATCATCAAAACCTTTCAAACTGCCCTCTGGGTTGCTCTGTGTAGAATGGATGGCAAGGGAGAGGAGAGGAAAGAAACCCAGAGGATTTAGGAAGTTAGGGGGCCATTCTGTGAGCTATGGTAGAGATGATCTTGGTTTGGACTCTGGCTGAAGTAGAGATGGTGAGGAGTGTAGTCAGGTCATTCGATGTTGCAGAGTAAAGGCGACTTCACTGATTAAGTGACTTGGTTAGCAGCCTCAGATGCTGGCTTTTTAGTGTTAGCTCAGATCATTTTAAGGAGGTCTCATACAAAACTTGGAAATTCTGACTCCTGTTTAAAAAAGCCAGAGTATCTGCCTACATGAAGACTGAACTCCCATATGGGAACAGATGTCGGAGAGGAGTACTGGCTTCCCTTTTAGAGAGCTGCGAATACTGTGGTTTACAAAGACCCGTCTCCATGTCCCCCTGACAGTGAGGCTGTTGTTGGATCCCCTTCATCATCAGCTTATCCTATTGTTTTTCTTATATCACGCCCACTTAATTTTCCATACTCTCTAGGCCTTTTAATATGTGGAGCTCACCTCTGATACTCTGAAATTAAAGTGGCAAGTAAATGCATCCTGCTTTAAGGTACCTGTGAACCCCTGTGGAGCTGGAAAATAGCCTCTTTAGCAGAATACTAACAAATCCTGGCATTCTTTAAAACTAGCTTATTTCATTTGTTCTAAGCCAGGTGGTTACTCTTGGGGGAGTGTTGCCTGGAAACACGAGAAGTGCTCTGGTTACACGGGCGTGTGCACTTTGTGAAATGCACTCATGCACGCTTCTATATGCACACTGTGTATATCATGCTTCAATCATAACTGAAAGCTAGTGTCATTTTTTAAGAATAGTGTCCAGTGCAAACATCCTTGAGTGTTGCGGTCTTCACAGATTGCCTCTTGCTCTTTCAGCCAAGCCAAAGCCATGTACTCCTGTAAAGCAGAGCACAGCCATGAGCTTTCCTTCCCACAGGGGGCGCTATTCTCTAACGGTAAGTCCACCCGTTCCCTGCGCTAAGGTTACCGTCCTGAAGGACGCAGGAGCAGTCTAAAGTAAAAACCAGGAGACTCAGGATCCAGCCCAGGCCCTGCCTTTTGTAGCTGTACCAGTAAACACATCAGATTCCCCTGGAACAGATTTCCTCTCCTGTGTCAGAGAGAGAGAAAGTGAAAGTGTTAGTTACTCAGCGTGTCTGACTCTTTTCAACCCGTTGGACTGTGTAGCCCACCAGGCTCCTCCATCCATGGGATTCTCCAGGCAAGAATACTGGAGTGGGTAGTCATTCCCTTCTTCAGGGGATCTTCCTTACCGGAGTGATTGGTTATATGAATGCAAAAGGCATTTCCAGCTTTACAGGTCCTGTGACGTTGTTTTGACAAATTGAGTAAATGCATACAATCTAATGTGGATTTTTAGCCATTTGTGTGTGTAATTATTTGAAGCTAATGTTGACTGAGTGATATTTATTAATGTATTTTTATCTTTGCCAGTGTACCCATCAGTGGAACCAGGATGGTTGAAGGCAACTTATGAAGGCAAAACAGGACTCGTCCCAGAAAATTATGTTGTCTTCCTCTAATGCTATTTAGTGGACGGCAGTATCTTCATGGTATCCATGGTAACAAGTAATAAGTGCTATGATTTTATCTGACACAGATATGAGGATCAGCCCATTAAAATGAAAAATAACCCATTTCTAGCGAGTTTTCCACAGCAGAATATGTAGCTCCATTAACGGAAAGGGGAAAAAATGTTTAAGTTTTTGCCATTCTTTTTTATCTTGGGCTGATTTCTTATTTTGAAATAGCTTATCCCCATCCCCTGCTTTTTTACTTTTAATAAGTAACTCTCCACAATGTCTCTTTCATAACATTTATAAAAATCTCAAATACTGTGTTAAGTACTACATCCCAGAAATCTGGAAACCAGAAATCTGCTATAAGACTTTTAAGACCTGCCCTTTACTGTCTGGTATTCTCTGAGGAACCTTGAAATCATTGCTAAAAAAATGTAATTTAAGCTGTTCATTTATTATTTTTTCTTAAAAATATACTGCTTTTATATATGATTGTTTTGCTGGTCCTAAACATTTCAAGGAAATAAGGGGTTTTTTTGACATAAGTTTATTTTTATTTGTTTACCAAGTAGATGATAATATTCAAAAGCAATAATGTATATGGTGTCTGTAAATGAAACCAAGTCATACACTGATTCTGCTGTAAACACTCTGTCCAGCATTCCAGATGCTGTCTATGTGCTTAGAGCAGGGATCAGCAAACTACTTCTGCAGAAGCTTAATAGGAAATACTTTGGGCTTGGCAGGACCTGTTGTCTCCATCACCCTGTTCAGACTGCCGTTGTAGTGGAGAGCAGTCACAGACAACACATGGATGGGTGTGCCTGTGTATCAATACTGCTTTCTTTCGCGACGCTGAAGTCTGAAATTGTGAATCTGTCATGCCATAAGATATTAAGCTTCTTTGACTTTTAAAAAAATCCATTTAAAAATAGAAATTTATAGCTGATGTGCCATACAAAAGCAGGTGGCAAGCCAGATTTGACTTATGGGTCATGGTTTGCTGATCCCTGGTTTGAAGGATGTGTAAAACTGTCTGTATTTGAGATTTTATGAAATTTTACTCCATTAACATATAAATACTAAGTGATATGCACATACCCTCTGCTAGAATCAGTATAGTGGTATCACAAATGTGTAATTACAATGATAGGAAAATGATGGAAAAGTACAGTATACAAGCATACAGCTTAAATTCTACTTGTTATTCTGTAAAGTGTCCAAGGATTTTATTGATACCCTTTTGGCTCCAAATGATAAAGATGATGTGTTAAGACAGTGGTTGGAAGACTATGCCTTCTAAAGTCTATGATTAGTTGAGGCATAATCTTAACATAAAGGTACAGGATTCTTAAATTATTTTGAAATTATTTCATCATCTTTAGCAGGAATAAAGTCATATAAAATTTTCCATTATGCCTTTCGATTTACAGCCTTTAATAGAAATTTCACTGTATTTATAGAGCATAGAAATAGGTATTTACTATACATTTATATATACCATAATTATCTGGTCATATGTTGACCACTTCTTCTATTATTTCTATTTAATAACCCTCATACTATTTCTAACATATCTGCATGTGGCAAAGAGCCTTTCTTCTCAAGATTCCCAAAAGCTGGTTCTCTGCCATGGATTGCCACAGCACTGGCCCGCTTGGCCACAGTATTGTACATACTACTTCAAAGGTCTTCACTGTATAGACACTCAGGTATTGACTGTAGACAGTTCTTTTTACATGATACTGCTTTGTAATCTCCATCTCTTCTACTTTAAGTTAATGTTTCTAGAGTTAATAGGTTAAATTATATACATACACAACTATGCCTTGGAGCATTTATGCTTTTAAAATTAAAAATGGAATAATGGATTAGGATTTAGAGGTAAAGAGAATAACAGTAGGCAGAATTACAACCGGAAATAAATATCAGCATGGAAATAAAGGAATGGAAAATATTTAATGTTGTAAAAATCAGTAATATAATGAAAAAATCAGATACATTTGTCTCCTTTTTTTTTTTTTTTTTTTACCTGCTACTGTTGATTTTTGTACACTATGATTATGCGTTGCTAGAGCTTCTTGACCTCTAGATCCTTGGTGGTCTTTAGTAATTGCATTGCTGACATCCTGACTGCCCTCTGCTGGAACAGAGGTGGTCTCTCTAAGGGACCTGGTTCTTCATCCACAGCACCCTCAGTTTAAGCACCCTTGCTAGCATCTGGCATCCTACTAAATTAAAGCCTCTTAAGGCAAATTGATTTTCTTTCAAAGACCAACTTGACTCTGAAAAGAGATTCAGAGTCCTTCTTCACTTGCTGCTGCAGAGAGAAATCTCAACCTTCATTTTCCTTTAACATGGCCAGCGTGTTCCTGCCTCTGAGTTGTCTCTGAGCTAATTCTACAGATGGTCAGTGAGGAATTAAACCTTTTGCTCTAAAAGTCATGGGCATGAAGCCCCTCTCCTTCTTTATGGTGAGTCATATACTGTGACAGTACTTGATATGGTCCCTTTTTGAAACAAGCTGCGAAATGCTTGTCCCAGTTATGCTTTTGTTTGAAGTTTTAATCTCCCAGATTTGTGAGAATGGTTCTTTTTCCTTCACATTGATTGTTCATGGAAGCAAGTCATGGCCCTATGCTACCGCTCAAATGAAGCTGCTTTTCCCTAGAAATGTTTTCAACAGATAAAAGTATTTATGAACATTGAGAAAACCAGGGCATGTGCTATGATCACATGGAATAGTCATTACACCAGAAGGTACATGCCAGTCACTACAAGAAGATCATATTTGAAATGACAACAGTGTTTCGGTAATGAAACTGTAGGCTTTCAGAGACTCAGTGAAGATACTTTAGAATTGCCACATCCACACCTTGAAAACTTCAGGCCAGGTGGGCACCCTAATCACTGCTGACAGTAGAATAAGGGTGTGGAGACTGATGAGTCCAAGGCAGTCATCTCATCTGTTAGATGAAGATATCCTTGAGTGCAAGACCTCGCTGTGTTTCAAGGTGACTCTTGTACCACATCTGCCGGCTTATAAGCAGCAGTCAGTTAAGTGAAGGCTTTTTGTTTTGTGTGAATGCCTGAGCAGTGAGATGATCTCTGTATCGCTCTGAAGTCTGTGAGGCATGAGGAAGTACCGTTTCTCCTTGTTTGACGGGGGTGCTTTTACCCTTGTATTCGCTCTCTGCCTCGCACTGTGAATGGGTATAACCAGGCATCCCAACAGTGGCTCACTGATGGCTCTTCCAGGAAGGGAAGAGGTTTTTTTTTCAAATGCGCCTTCCAAACTTTCCAGGTTCTCAAATAAGAAAAGAAGGCAAAGAGACAATGATTTGGGGATTATTTTCTGTTCTGTGGTAATAGCTTTTACTTATTGTGGCATGCCCCCTAAAAATCCAGCATGATGTCAGGAAACTGAATCTGCTCTGCAGTCTTAGGAAATAAAACCTGCTAGCTCCTCACTCCCAGCCTTCTTCAGGTCTGTGCGTGTCTGATGTGCAGGGTCTCATTCACAAGGATGCTGGTTTACAAGGGTCCCTCAGAGCCTTTCTTCAAAGCCCTTCCATTTTTAGTATGCCTCCCCCAGTTAGATATTTGGGGTGCCTTAATCAGCAGTTAGAACTTCATCTTGATTTGTACTTTGTTGACTGAAGTTAGAGGTGGACTCATTTCAGAACGGGTTTTGTTCTTTAGTTTTACAATGTATTTGTAGTTCGCAGCTGTTACTATGACCTAACATCACTGAGTTAGGCCCCAAAGTCATGTCATTTGCTAAAGGAAAAAAGTAGAGACCTAATTACTGTCCAGAAGTTATTTTCTTCTTTAGTATAAGTTTCCCACTTTGCGTAGATATTGCTGTTAACTTTTGCCTCTTACCCTGTTTGCTTACCTTCCAAAATCGAAACACTTTTCCCAGAGAATTATTAGCCTATTGAGTAGACTTCTGAATAATCTGTATCCTACCTGTCTCCTGTTGATCCTCAGACATAATCCAGGTACTTGTCAACGACTCTCACATCTCTTCACCACATTCACTGTATCCATTTGTTGTCACCAGTATCTCCCTGCCTCAGATCTATGTGGTAGTAACCTTGGACAAATTCACATTTACAGATGGCATGGACTTTCAGAGGATCAGATCAATAAATAGGATTTTTCACCTTTTTTTGGACTGTTGTGTTCACTGTTTTAAACAAGAAATCTCAAGTACATTGACAGCACTCACAGCAAGCCATAGGCAGAAAACTGATTACATGTTCTGGTCCAAAGTTTAGAAGTCACTGTGTGACTTAGGGAGTCTAACAGATCAGCCTCTCTCTGTGGTGCTCACGGGAGGGACGCCACGCTCAGAGGTTGGGCGTCCTTTCCTCGGTGCCTTAGGGAGGAATGGGGTCTCTGTGTGTGCTGCAGACCCTCACCATCCTCGGTGGTCACGGTGGTCCTCCCGTGGCGGGAGGACCACTGATGCTAGAGGCAGTGCCTGCCCCACCGTAGGTAGATGACCACTTTCTGCCCTTGCACCATCTCTCGACAAGGTTCCCATGGTCTTCACCCTTCCAGAGCCCAGCTCTGCCTTGAATCCATTGTCTCTTAGATTAATGCTGTGCGTTGTTTTTTATATGCAGAAAGTTGGAGATTTTATGTCTGCCTCTGTATCTTCGGTCATGATTTATGCTTAACAGTTGAGAAGTCATCACATATCAAGGGCTGTGATTTCAAGAGCCTTTTTGAACTCTAAGCTGAAGCCTTTACAATATATTGGGAGTGTGGCAGGGAAGATGACTTTTTTTTTTTAATTCAAATCCTATTTATATACTGTTAAATTTGAGGTACTATAGTTTATATAAAAGTTGAATATTTAGATGATATATTTCAGTATTAGGAATTTGTCTGAAGCCATTAATTAACATAACAAATTAAATAATAAGTATGAAGATGATTGTCAGTAAATTATCATATTGAATTTTTTGTTTATTTTGTAGTGTCTTGTATTTATCTGCACTTTGTGTGTATATATATATATACACACATACATATACAAACATGTAAATAACTTCATGTTATTCCTTATCTGAATTGCCACAATTTCTTTAATGTATGTTTACACTGTATTTTAAATTACTTTAAAATAAACTATGTTTAGCACATTTTAATTTAGTCTTTGTATTTGAAAACCACTGTGTTAGAGGGCAGCTGTCTTGGATCCATATAGAGAAAAATCAAAGTTTCAGGTACTGTGAATGGTCATTTTGGGTATGGCTGAATGGAAAAATCATAACAGAACTGATAACTTTTTCCTGATAATTGGACTCTTCCTGAGCAACTGTAATGTTGGTACTTCCTAGTAATGCAGGTACTGGACTTCCCTGGTTACACACTGGATAAGAATCTGTCTGCCAGTAGAGAGGACATAGGTTCAGTCCCTGGTCCCGGAAGATTCCAGCTGACTCTGAGCAGCTAAGCCTGTGTGCCCTGGAGCCCACACGCTGCAGCTGCTGCAGCCTGGGCTCCAGAGCTTGTGTTCCTCAACAAGAGAAGCCACGTCCATGAGAAGCCCGCGGACCGCAGCAAGAGTACCCCTGCTTGCTGCAGATAAAGCAAGCCCGTGGACAGCAACAAAGACGCAGTGCAACCATAAATAAAAACAAATAAAAATTTTAAAAGGAATAATAATGCAGATGTCTACAGGAAAAAGAAGCAAATAAATCATAAACAAATTATCCAAAAAACAGGTATGTAGGCTTACCTGAAATAAAATAAATACATGAAAGTTCACAAGTGTACTGTGAAAGAAGAGCATGCATGCTCAGTCATGTCTGACTCTCTGTGACCCACTGGACTGCGGCCCTCCCAGCTCCTCTGTCCATGTTCTCTGTCCAGGCAAGAGTACTGGAGTGGGTTGTCAT